TAGCTCCAAAAATCCGGGAAAGTTTCAGACAGCTTGAACAGAGCAACGAATCCAGCAGTGCGCCCAACCATAGATGAAAATACACATTGGCCTCTCGTGATCAATGATTGATAAATAAATAAATAGGTCTAAATTGTAAAACTTCTCGCGATCGACTGGTTGGGCACCCCTGTTCTGGAGTATATGCAAATTGTTGTTATAAAGACTGAACTGTAGACTATTAACATTTGAATCACTCTCAAAACTTTTGGCCATGACTGTAACCAGATTGTTTTCCAGTAAAATCAGAGTCTTCTCTGAAAATATCATCTTTACGAACAGAGAGGGGTAGACTTGGAGGTCAGCTTTCAAAAACCTACAATGCAGCAATAGAGTTGGTCCCTTCCCGCTATCATCGTATCCCCTTTACAGGGGAACAGAAGACCTCGCCTGTTCAACCAGGCCAACAATTCCCTTTAATGACCCCCTTTCAGAGACATAGACAGGTATGGGGCATTGCAGGCTAACAAAGAAGCCAATGACCCCCATTCCAAAGGGGTGGACCCATTCATCCGTTTCTATTTGCATGTTTTCCAAACAAAAACCAGGCTTTGTTGGGCTGCTGGATAAAACCTGGAACTCGCCTAGCCTGCAATGCCCCATACCTGTCTATGTCTCTTAAAGGTTGGTCGTTAGAAGGAATTGTTGGCCTGGCTGAATAGGCGAGGTCTTCTGTTCCCCGGTAAAGGGGTTGCGATGATAGCGGGAAGGGATCAACTCTATCGCTGCATTGTAGGTTCTTGAGTTAATTTGGTCTCACCTTAACATCCTGTTTGTTGTTTTTAAGAGTCTTTCTCAGAGTTTTTTTTATGTTTTTTTTTTTTTTTACTTTAATAAAGACTAATGATGTTTAAATGGTTTGTTTGTTGGGAAGGATGGCTGCTCAGGTGGAGGTTCAGACCGGTGAGGTTGGCAGGACGGGGGCAGCAGGACGACTCCACCTGAGTCCACTGACTGACTCCAGCAACAAGAACGTCATGGAGATGCCTTCTGTAAGCGAGCCTCACATCATGGCGTCGGAAAGCAGCAAACCTGCCCCTAGCCCTAAGCCTCGGCTCACTCCTAAGCCGTTCGCTGTGGAGAAGCCCACCATCAAGCCCATACTTGCCCCTAAGCCCCAAACTAAACCTCGCCCGGAGACCACACGCCTCACCGGACCCAAACCGGATCTGCCAAACGCACCGAAGCCAACGGTGAGGCAGACAACCTCCAACCCCAGCCGTCCGACCGCCACTTCCTTCAGAGCACCAAATAAACTCAAAACGGGCCAAACCACCAAGCCTGTTCCCCAGCCGTTCAAACCGGCGCCCCCGCTTGACCCCGGGGAGCCCAGCAGATCGGGCCGGCCGGTGCCGACTGGGAGGCAGAAACCTGCCGCCTCAAGCTTGGCCTATTCCAAGAGTCTGAAAATGTATTCGGCAGCGGAGTGGTCCGGAACCACTTCCAACAAACTCGACAGTGGGCCGATCAGCGAAGGGTCCATCACTAGAGCTAAATCCATGGACTTCCTGGCTGCCATCGGACAGGACAAAGAAGAAAAGGAAAAAGATCAGCTCGGAGCGGCCGTGCAGATGCGAACGAAGCCCAGAACCCCCAGACCCAGACCGGTTTCAGCCATCTTCCCTGCTGCTCCAGCTAAAACGGAGGCTCCGGTTCCCGCCCCCCGCTCAGCAGCGAGGCGACCCCTTTCCGCTGATCTCACGTCCAAATTTGAGTCCATCGGTCTGCCCCGTAACAGCCCCAAAGCAAACACTCCTACAGAGCCGGTGGCGCCGCTGGACCCAGAGGACAGAACCACTCCCAGTACAGCTCTGGGTAGTACCGATGGTCCTGCAGAACCAGCGAACACGGACCAAGACAGCAGAAAGCTAGAGGACAGTGCTGTGAACGAGGCTGAAGAGGTTAAACCCGCGACCAGCATCAGGTCTAGAATTAGTCTCCTCCTCGACTCCTCGTCCTCCCCGGGCGCCACTGCGGACCCGCCCTCTTCGGTGCAGCCGCTACCAGAATCAGAACCCTTGGTGGGGGTTAAACAGCTCATCAAGCAGCTGACAGAGGACACCACGCCCCCTCCGGTCCCGGCCGTCAAGCCTGTGCTGAAGCCCCGCCCGTTGCCTCTGGACCTCACCAAAAGGTAAGATCGGACCTCGGTACGTTTTCCTCTCGCAGTGTTTGATGCATGAGCCCCATTGTCATGCATGCTTTTGTCTCGTATGACGTATGCTCATCAGGTTTTCCTCCGAGCGCTCACCAGAACCTGCTTCACTCACTGAGGCCGCAGATCGGCATGAGATCAGCAGAGATCCTCAGAGAGGGGTAAGAAGGGGCCAAGCTCGGAGGCGTCGTGGTTGTTTGATTTAGCCCTTTCCCTTCCAATAACCAGACTGAACCTCCCAGTACTTCCATGGCTGGTCCAGATCTTCTTCATCCAACCCTGACCTTCCTGTAGCATGCCTTTCTTCATCAGTGGAGTCTTGCGTAGTGTGTGGGAGTGGAATACATTATTTACTGTAGCTGCTGCTTGTCCTTCCTGAATTTTCAGTGGTTCTGGGTACCATCTAGCCATGGCTGCTTTATTGTCTCATTAATTAACTGATCTTTACCACCTTTGTGTATCACCATCAGTTCATATTAAAGGAGCAGACATTATAACACCTTCTAATGCTGCCGCATCTCCACTGTGTCATCAAGCTTTCTCCGTCACTTTGGTTGTCCCTTCCTTCATGTCTAACACTTCTCACATTCTTTCCTTCCATTGTTTCCAGAAAACTTTGTCAGTGAAGCTTGGTCACCAGTTCACCTCTAAAAGTTCTCTGAATGAAAACTTTTCCTCTAATTTTTTATTTAATGTGTAAAAATGTACTTTCAATTATTCAATTGACGACTAAAGGGCCCCTATGATGAAGGGCTCTTTTATTTAACTGTTGACAAAGGGCCCTTCCAGTTAATCTTTGACTAAAGGGTCCTTCCAGTTAATTGTTGACAAAGGGCCCTTCCAGTTAATTGTGACTAAAGGGTCCTTCCAGTTAATTGTTGACAAAGGGCCCTTCCAGTTAATTGTTGACAAAGGGCCCTTCCAGTTAATTGTTGACTAAAGGGCCCTTCCAGTTAATTGTTGACTAAAGGGCCCTTCCAGTTAATTGTTGACTAAAGGGCCCTTCCAGTTAATTGTTGA